CATTGTAAATAAATACTGAAATGGCTAAACTGCAATAACATCTCACCACACACACACACACACACACACACACACACACACACACACACACACACACACACACACACACACACACACACACACACACACACACACACACACACACCTCTGATACTGTTCAATACAAAGAGGACAAAACATACCAGTGCAGTGTACTGGTACAGAGGCCAGAAATACAGTTTCATATGAAAACCAAGTGAACATTTTGTGCACTGTACTCAAGAGAGAGGACCGTCTAGAAGAAAATAAATCATTAGGAGAGATAAGTCATCAGTTTAGGATCTTGCTTAGAATGTCAGATTAACATATATATTTGCACAAAAGGGGGCAGAGCATAACCAAAAAACTAAATAAATAAAAAATTCTGACCTCTAAATGTGGAAATAAGGATTAGAAGGCGGGTTATGTAATCCTTAGTGTGGGCTGCTTGTATCAGATCCAGCACATTCTCGTTGTTCACACCCTGAAAATATCAATTTCCCCATATGAAAGTCTAAAAATATATCTATTCACCAGGATTCCTGTTATAAAATGTTATCTACATGGAGGCGGACTCAAACTGCTCAATGTTAGACTGTTTCAGCAAACTAATCATCTTTAATTTCCTTTGGTAGCAAGCGCAACATTCTTTCAAGAAAAAATAAACACTTTATCACACTTGAAAAGCTTGGTTACCTAGTCCTTTCCACTCTTGATACCTAAGGAATATTATTAAAGTGTCTACTAGCTGGAGCTGATGGTTAAACAGAGCAGAGGACCGACAGCATCCTCATGTAATACGGGATTAAATACAAGTCTGAAGTCTACACATGTGTAAGCATTGCAACCAAAACAGTCACACTCAGTTACTGAGCCTCCAGTTAGTACCTCTGATATATCATCATAACACTCGAGTCAGAGAGCTAAGAAGATCATTGCCTACAAAAGAATTCCTGTGGCTCGTCCTTCAAATCTGTAAAGATATGCTAGCAGCTATGTGAAGCTGTACTTCTTAGGCACAGTGGTGCTTTGAGCTAAATGCTAATGTCAGCATGCTAACATGCATACTCTGACAATGTAATGTTAGCCGTCCTAGTTTAGGGATCATTATTGTTACAGTAAATAGCATGAAAAACATGTATTTTGTCATAAACTAAGTTATTGAATATATAAAATGTAGAGCTTATGCTAAATCAGAGGAACTCCAAGGTTATTGCAACTCATCCTGAGGGAGGCATGCAATACATTCCATCCGATAGTTATTCAGATAGTAGGCCCACATAGCCATGCAGCTGCTACATGACAATACAAAGCAGAGATGGAGCATTTGTTCATTGAGATGGCCTGATGAGTGATAGGGGGTCTGAGAAACCCTCTGTATCAAAACTTTGCTGGTTGACTTTTCAGAATATCTGAGGCTTTGCTCTGTGACTGGAATGTAATGTTGGATTGAAATGGGTCCACCACTATAACATCTTGAATATTAGGATAAACACAAGGCCATGTTCTGCTCAAATAGATACTTAAAGCTGAAGTGTTGCCGACTAAAACAAATCCTGACCTAGAAACACCTGGCAATCAATCCACTTTGTCTTGCATACAATCAAAAGCCAAGTTCTCAAAGGATTCAAATGAACATAAAATATGATTTTGGATTCATGAAGAATCTCTAATGATTTTCTCCATGTGATTATTGTAATGTTTGACCCAATGATTTAGCATCATGCCGGGTCCAGCATGAGCACACAGACTGAACAGAGGGAAGGGAACCTGAACATGTAAGGCGGGGGGAAATGGTTGTATTTGAGGAGCAAATACAAAACAAATAGTTCTGTATCCAAATACAGCTTTACCTCAATTAATATTAGAAGAGGCAGAGGCATAATTACAGATTCAAGTTTATAAAATATTAGATTAAAAGAAAAATAAATCATGGTTAAAACAATAACATGCAGTTTGTGTGAATGTGTTCACGGAGCAGCTCTCAGAGCAGTCTCTGCTTGTTTGACTCTTATTGTTCAGGAAGAAAAAGTGCTGATTAAACTCGTGTCAGAAGAGGGGGGGGGGGGTCGTCCCCCTGAACGCCTCCATGGCAGCGAGTTTGAGTTAAAAGGCAAATCAGGCTTCAGGGGTCAGTCTTCGTTGTCCAGGATCTGCCACACGATGAGGTGGCTGCGCTCGGCTTTAGCCTGGGAGGGGTGCAGCTTCATGGGCGGCTGCTCCCCCTCCTCCCCCTCAACATCCTCATCACCTGAAGAGGAACAGAGAGACAGGACATTCGTCTCTAAATCTCCTGTGATGACATCGGGGGTTTTATCCTCTACATGTAGCACACTCACCCATCCTGAAGTCGATGTAGCCCTCTCCCCCGCTCATCACCAACATGGACTTGGTTCCTTCCTGAGCCGCGGCATCTGTCGTCTTCTCCCCCGCTGCCTCCCCCCCGCAGGAAGCAGATGGATCTGCATGACCTGGGAGCACGGAGACACACACTGTAAATATCACCACTCAGTCCAGATTGTGTTTATCTGGTGCTTACCATCTGCTCTGTTCAAAGAGATCTCAGCTCACTGACTAGTTTTTCATCTGAATTCAATAATATGACAAACCAAGTCGGACTATTAAACAGTTTCAAGGGTTCCCACAAAGTCCTAAACACCAAAGTGTTTTTCCAGACGGATTACCTCAAATTGAAGGACCCCTTTTGGCAGTTGAAGCCAAAGATCAAGATTATTTTTTGTTGTACTTTTTAGGGTTAAACAATGATGCAGCTGTCGCAGACACCAATACAGAGAGTGGAATGTAACATACCTACTAGTATTAAGTAACCATTTTTGGAATATCTATTAATAAATAATTTCCCAATTTGGGATCAATAAAGTACCTATCCATCTATCTAATGTATTTTATTTAACTAAAAAGATTGAATATCCCAACAAATGATAGTTTTGGTAGGACCTGAGTGTTTGGTGAAACTACATATGGGAATATGCAGAATAAATACATGAGTTAGTTGAATAGTCATAGAACAGACTCATTTGATCAGAAAAAGTGAAGAGGCTGGAGTGTTCACCTGGGACCGCGGTGAAGAACTTGACAGCGTCTCTGTGACCATGGAAACAGAGCTGGGCCTGAGCCATGGAGCAGTACGGAACAAAGGTCCCGGCCGTCACTTTGTCTCCGCTGTCGTCGCTGTACACCACACTGCCTGGCTGGTTCCCTGCTGCCTTGGTCGCCTTGTTGCCTGCTAATGGAAGGTCATTAAGAGCCAAACTAAATGTGTTCAAGATATAAAGTTAAAGTTACTACACGGGCCTTTAATGTCAGAAAACTCAACAACTTGTTATACTCAGTTATCGATACGTAAATATATAACTATAATTATTATTTTGATCATTATTAATTAAGTTAAATGTTACTTTTACCTAATGCACCTAATTAACTGCAGTGCCAGTTACCATATTGTATCAGAATTACATACTATTAATAATTGTTAATAACCAGACTAGCTGATACTAGAACCCCAACAAGACATTAAGTGTACCGGATGTGGAGTTATAGTGTTAATGAGGGACTGCAAACACACTGCAAAGGCAGCAGAGTATAAATACATCTTAATTTTTTAACTAAATAAATAAGATGTCGATCTAATTCCTGAACCCACTGTCAGTCAGAGGGATGGAGATGATGACTCCGTTTCCAGTTCCGATCCACAGACGGTTAGAGGACACCATGAGAGCTGTGATCCTCACGAATGAGAAGCCTAGTTTCCCCGTGCCTGAGAAAGAAAAAAAACAACAACATTTGAGCTGATTGACAGGTCCTTTGTGTTTTATGGAGGAAGTGTTGTTGTTCTAAAGAGTGCACTGACCCAGCATCTTGCTGACGTAGGGCTCGATGTCCACGTCCTGGAGGTGCTGGAAGGTGTGGGCGTGGAACAGCCTGAGGGTGGAGTCCAGTCTGATGGACACCCAGATCCCGTCCCCGTCCCAGGCCAGCTGACGCACCTGGCTGTCCTTACGGGGGTGGGCGTCAAACGATTTCTGAAAGGGACAAAAAATATCCAAATAAAGAAGACTGAAAGAAGGATTTCATGACTCAAGGCCAAAGTTAAGGAAATTACAAGGCACTATTGATGTGTGAAAAGAGAATTTGTGGATCATATTTAGTTTTTAGTGGTACAAATCGAAGCCCTAAAAGACAAGGGAGAAAACTAAATATGGTGTAAAAACATTTTTCTCCTGTGTTTATTATTTCAAAACATAAAAGCTTTTGCCTGAATTACATGTTTTAAACTGCTTAAAAACTGTTCATCTGTGAACCAGATTGAAAAAAAAAAATAAGCTTTGTCAGGTATTTTATTATGTCAAGATTGTCACTTATTTGTCTAGGTCAGTGGTTCCCAGTGTGTGTGGGGCGCGCCCCCCCCTGGGGGTCGCAGAGGCATGACAGGGGGGGCTCGAGAGACCAGGAGGAAAAATGGTTATTAAAAAAAAAAAAGATTAAAAAAAAAATCATAATTTGTAAAATTATTGATTTGAAAATAATATGATACAGTACTATTACGTCTGGGTCTCTGTGTGTCATTAAAGCTCTCTGTGTGTGTGTGGAACGAGCCATTTTGTGTGCGTGCACGAGCGAGAGAGCGTACCGGTACCGGAGATCGTAGTTGTTAGCTTCTGGTCTTAGCGAGCTACGCTAACGGATATAAAGAGTTTTTTCAACAACAAAGTGGAGGAGAGTCCTCTCCTGTCAGACTGAGAGGCTCAGTGAACTAAAGGACTCTGAGTGTTTATATAGTTAACTTTAGTCTAAGTTATCTCAGTGGATCTCAAATGTTTTGGTCACCATTAATGTAAACAATTATTTCCGAGGCACACGTTTATATGATCATTATAGTTATAAAAAAATAAGAGAATAAATGAAAAACAGGTATGAAATACTATTAAAAAGGGTGATTTGTAAAATATCCATAGAGAAAAAGTAAATCTGTTTACAGTTCTGTTTCATATGGGTGTTGAGAGATGTATCCATAGATCTCTTTTTTTGGCTCTCAAAGTGCACCAGATTGATGCTTTTAACTTCAATATTTAAAAATAAATCTTACC